TCAAGAAGTTTCAGTTTGTGGCCTTCACCAAGATCCTCCTGGACGTCCTCCCCGTCTTCCAGAAACTCAGCCGCTTCTTCCAGATCGAGGACTTCGACCTCTCCATCCTGAAGCCCATCGTCTCCACCACGGCCACCACCCTGCAGGCCCAGAAGAGCACCAGTGGCCAGAACCTCCAGGAGTTCCTCAACGAGATGAACGAGCACCCACGGGACGACCGGGAGGGCGAGAGCCGCCTCTACTACAAGGGCGTCGAGCTGGCCAACTGCTCCAAGGTGCACCTGAAGCACTTCGAGCGCCTGAAGGAGAGCTACTTGGAGAGCGTGCGGGGCAACCTGCTCGACAGGTTCCCCAGCAGCGTCCTGGAGGCCGTCAGCTCCTTCTCGGCCATCTTCAACCCCAAGTGCTACCCCCAGTCCTTGGAGGACATTGGCAGCTATGGGATCAGCGAGCTCAATTTCCTGCTGCAGGCTTACTCCCGGGTGGTGGTGAGCGAGAGGGCGCTGAGCGATTTCCCCCTCTTCAAGCGGATCGTCTTCAGCCTCAGCCAGCTCTCCTTCAAGGACCTCTGCGTCAAGCTGGTCTACAGCAACTCCGAGATGCACGAGCTCTTCCCGGACTTTGCCGTCCTCGCGGCCATCGCCCTGGCCTTGCCGCTGGGCTCGGTCCTTGCCGAGAAGATCAGCCGGGGCCGGGAGCTGCTGAAGCGCGGCCGGTTGCACCGCCCCAAGGACGAGGGGCTCTCCGACCTCATGAAGATCGTCATCGACGGACCGGCCATCAGCGAGTTTGACTTTGCGTTGGCCATCGAGTACTACGAGAGCATGAGGGAGTCCGGCTTCATCGTGGCGCAGGTGAAGTGAGCGGCGGCCGGCAACGGCAGCGCCCTGCGGGCAGGGGGCCGGGTCCTGCGGGCAGCCCCGAGCGCCGGCTCGACGCCGTCTTTCCCCATCGCTGGTCACTGCTGGGGCCGGGCGGCCGCCGGTGGGTGGTGACCTGCTCTGTGCTGGGAAGAGGAAACGGGATCCTGCACGAAGGTGTGCCGGTCCCACGAGCAGCCGTCCCTCATCCCCCCGTCTGGATCGGCCAGGATTTAAAGTCGTGGGGCCACCTGAAATCCCAAATTGCGATGAGGTTTTTTTTCAAGGGTTGGTTATTATTTTGTTTTAGGGAGATGAAGGCAAATCTTCTCTTGAGCCCAAATGTCACGTTGCCTTTGCGCAATGATACCCAGCAGCTTTTGCTTAATACTCAGCAAAAATATCTGATTTTTGTTGTTTTGGAGCCTCGAGAACGAATGCAGAAAAGGCAGCGCATCTTTCTAGCTCCGTGGCAAACCCCGGAATGCCTGGCGGTGTCTTGTTGGTATTCCTTGCGCACAGCACAAAATATTTTTAGCAGTGGCATCAAGTCATCTTCTCAAGAGCAAGAGATTTAGAGAATGATACTGTAATCACCAAGGAAATAGTAACTTTTAAATGCATCATTGTGTATATATGTGTATGTGTATATATATAAAATATATATATATATATTAAAAAGGTTTATCTTAATTTTCCTAGTGTTTAAAATACAAAGATATCTAAAAGGACTTTTTTTTGCAATGACAGAATAAATTATAAGCAAGGGTCCAAAAATAATAAATAGCGAATTCCTGGTCTTTTCAAAGTGGCATCACGTACCTACGTTCCCTTTGCACTCTGAGCTCTCTGCAACCTGCAGCCAAAGAAAGAGTCTTTCCATGTCCGCTCTGGGGACAAACCCGAGTTCTTTAGCTTGTGTTTTTCCTTTTAAACATCCTCTTTTCCCCGCGGTGGATGGGGGCTCCTCTGCCGCCGGGGTCCGGGTGTGGGAGCGCGGTGGCCGAGCGGGGCCATGGAGCTGCGTGGCGTGTCCGGGTGTCACAGGGCTGCTCTGGCTTCGACTCGGAGGGATGTTTCCCTCAGTTCTGTCGGGGCGGGTGGGACAACCCCGCTGACTGATTTTGGTCTGGGATAAAGCCAAGGCAGCAGCCTGCAGCATCACGTTGGTTTGATACCGAGTGCCGGGTCCTCCCGCGGGATTCGGCTCCGCTCCTTCCCGCGGTAAGTTGGCGCCATCCCGCAGACGCAGGGTCCATAGCTGGCAGGATCTGACCCCCATGTCCGTAACGCCAACGGTCCCCGTTGGTCCCGTGCGGTTGCCTGTGGCTGGGACTTGTGAAGGGGGCTGGGGCTCGCTGCTCCCCCTCCTCCGGAGCGAGCAGCCGCTGCGCCCCGGCTTGCGGAGCGGAGCCCCCCGGCCCTGGGGAGCAGCCTGGGCGGCTGGAGGGGTCGCACGGCCCCAGGGGCAGTACTTGGCCAGCACGACCGCCTCCCCTGCTGGGGTCCCTCCATTGCTCCGAGGGGAGGTTTGCTGTCTGTCTACGGGGACCGTGCCCCCAGACCCCCATGTCTGATGCACGGACGGGGTGTTCAGGGGTGCCTGGCGGTGTCTGGTGGGATCCCATGGGCGCACTGTGCCCTGGGCCTGCGGTGGAGCAGGGAAAGCCGGGATATCTGTCCTCAGGGCTGGCGGCAGGCAACCGCTGGTGGCCCCAAGTCCGTGTCCTTCTGGCTGATCCGTAAGGTGGAGACGCCAGTTTGATGGCGAGTGTGTTTGGGTGACGGCTGCTCACTCGCCAGCATCCCCCGGTTCAGGTTTGTGGTTCTTGGCGTGCCCTTGTCCTGCAAGCCGGGCTGTGCTGCGGGCTGCTTTCTGTCCAGCGTGTGCGTGGGGAGGAGGAAGAGGAGGAGGCGGCTGTGGCTGTCGAGAGCTGGAAGCAGGAGGGTGTAGCAGGGTGGTGCTCACGACATGCACCGTCCTCGTGTTCCCAGGCAGGCTGGGAACTGGCGTCAGCGCCGGGGTGTGTTGTGCAGAGCAGCTCTGCAGCCCCCCGGGGCTGTTGGGCTCTGCTGGAGCTGGGCGGGCTGGAGGGGCTGCGCTCGGCCAGGGCTGGTCCTGCTGCAGGGGCTGGCGGGGGGCG